TTGTCACTTTTTTTTCGAGGAACCAATGGTTAAAGGCTTAAATCCTTACATGTAACCACGTTCCAAAGGATAAGTTTAAAAAAACAAAAACAAACAAACAGAGAGAGGGCGGCAAGTTATATTGGATTGAAGGACCTTGGGCCTTAGTAGTGCATTTTCAAAATGTTTTGGGTCTTAACAGCAATTAAGTTTATTTTGAGGGCCCTAAATGAAACTTTTCTAAAGAACTTCCTAATGTTAAGAAAAAGTGTGATAGTTAAATGCAAAAAAAAAAAAAAACTTTGAAGTCAATTATCAAGGACTCGAAAACCACTTTCTTGAGGCCTAACTTTGGTCTCTCAATATCCAATATTCATATTAACTTTAGCTTACATACGCACAGGAATCAAAGTTATACATCAAATTTGAAATGTTAAGGAATAAATCTACCCTATAACCTTTTGCAAAGGCTGTATAGCTTGACATATATGATATAGGTAAATATCTATATATGTAACTTGTGGGGAATGCAAATCTAAGTGGATGATATGGTTTACATATAAGAGACTCAAACCTTTTTAAATAAGGTTGAGGACTTAGATTTTGTGAATGAAAACCAATATATATATATATATATATATACACGCTAAAAAGGCTGCCACCAACCTTCTATAGATTAAAAGTTGACAATATTTCAATATAAACCACTAATTAAATGGTTATAGATGTGTTGTTGTTAGACTTGTATTATAGGTTGTAGACTGAAAGTCAAATCATTCCTTCTGCTAATTCCCATAGCAACCTTGTTGAGTATTCTGGCTTTGGAATTGATATCTCCCCAAATTTGACATAATGACTTTAGTACACTTCAATGTATATAGATGTGCCTATTGGATTTTTTATGGATTGAAATTTGGGGGGGGGGATCATTCTAAAAATATCTCATACAAGAAATCTAAATATAAAAAGTGTCATGAAATCATAAAAATATCTTGAAGTCACATGACCTATATCAAATTTATCAATTTATTATATTGAAATTGTCAATTGATGTTGGATATATAGTTGTTATAATGGAATTGTGCTCAATTAACAACTAAATAATTTTGGCCAAAAAAAAATGTAACAACTAAATAATACTACTTCCATCCCAAATTATAAGACAATATTAGAAGTATTTTGTTGTCCCAAAATATAAAATAATTTGACAAAAGTAATATTTCATTAATGATGTTTTTTTTAATCTTACCCTTCAAGTGAAAAAAAATAAAATGATCATAAATTTAAAGTTTTATTAAATGAAAGGGTATTTTTAAAAATTTATATTTTTGTTTTAATCATTATTGAGCTTTTCTGATATATGCATAATCTTATTTCAAATTGTTTTATTATTTGGAGTGGAGAGAGTAATAATTAACAATTATCCAATAATATAATTGACAACTTCAAAAACAAATATAGGATATATAATTAAAATTAATTTTATGATTTCATAGGAGTGTTTATATTTTTTGTGTGAGACTTTATAGTGATTTCTCAAAATGTTATCTACTTACCATTGATTTATGCACACATTATCTTCCCTACACTTTTCATCCACTTCACCCGTACCATAGTCTTGAATCATCAAATATATGATCTAATCACTTATATAATTGGTAACAATATTTTTATAAAAGACTAAAATATACAAAACCTCCGAAACTTTAATCAACTATTAGCTTTTGTATTTTGTAAATATTAAGTTAATCTAATGCACTATTAGCATTTTTTGGGGAACATTTACAAATAACACCCGCTCACCCACTCATATTACACACTCCTTTTTTATAGAAAGGAAATAGATCCATTTATCACAACCCATTTTGCAAGCTAATGGAGTTAAAATTTAAACTGGTCAACGATTGGATCATTCAGTCTAGCTTTTTAATCACTGCTTTCAATATATTCATTGCCTTCAAATTTAATAAAATTCAAAATGAAGAACCTTATTTAAGTCTCAAATCACTTTAATTATGCAAAGGACTATATTTTTGTTATGAGAGAAAAAAATTACCTTGATCCTTAAAAAATAGAAATTTAATAATGTTATACATGCAGTACTCCTTTAAAAAGTCCTAATTAAACCTCAACTATATTCCCAATAATCGGGGATTTTAGATTTCTCTTCACCAATCATCAAGAGAGTCAATAGAAATTTACACACTGATGATTGGAACTCACACCCTTGCAAAATATAAGCTACATCATTTTCACTTGGACAAACCCTCATTAACTAAAAGTAGTAAGCCTTCAAATGTAAATAATCTTAACTATAGGATATAATTGATGGCCAAAAGCTCATTATATATTAAAAGGTTTGAAAGCATCATTATTATTTATGAAGATATTAAATCAACGACGTACAATAAACGTTAAGCATGACAAGTGAAGCTATAGCTAGCACACAGAACAATGAATAAAGTCCACCAACTAACTTGTTTGCCGACAATCTGATATATCCTATGCATCTTACGTTCAATATAAACGACAAACCAGGTCTTGTGTTTGATCATCACATGAGATCTTGATCATCTTGTTGCTTCAGAATTTGTCACCTAATCCCAATCACACACCCAAATGATAGGTCCGAATGTTTTAGTTCAAGTGTTGCTTTCTTGTTTCATACTCAAAAATTGATGGTTCCTCCATACTTTAGTGGTCTCCCAACAAAAAAATAAAAAAATAAAATAAAATTGTTTAATGCTTATGACTGAGCCATCTTACCTCTAACTCTATTTGACAACCAAACCAACCTAAGTCCTAAACTATGTTAATAACAAACATTAATGCATATATGTTCATTGCTTATATCTTGTGTCATCTCACAATGTGACTGTTGATTACCATTATTAACTGTTTCCATGACTGATTTTCAGTTACTTCTGCTTCTCAATTCTATCACAGTCTTCATGCTTTGATCCACTAAATCTGAGATTAGCTTGCAAATATCACTCTGATTTGGACACCAATGTGGTTGGTCCTCCCGCGAGATTTCTTTTAGGTAAGAAGACGACAAAAACTTAGTCTTGAACAATTTCAATTTAATCTTGATTATTAAACTTGGTTTATTATTATCATATATATTAAAAACATGTTTCCAATTAAATGGAGTGAAATGAAATTAATTTTTTTTAATCAGAATAGTTGATAATATGGGATAGTAGATGGTTCTCATCAAAAAAATTAGTTTTGAACTCATTTTAAGTAATGTTTGGATTTTGGAGTGACAGGTTTAAATTTGACTTTTATATTTGAAATTTCACATTTAATTAAATTTTATGTATCTAAAATATTTTGCTGGATAATATAAAAAAATTTAAATTCAAATATGATAAAATGAGAGAGACATGAAATGAAAATGGAAAGAGAATGAGAAAGCTAGTATTCTAATATATTTTAAATCGCGAAGGGGCATAGGGGATTTAAAATTACAAAAAAAAATTCTAATAAAATATTAATTTGGATTTAAATCAAATGAAAATCAATAATCAATAAATTTTTATAAATCTAAATTATGAATTTAGTCTAAATTCAAATACAAATCGTCATATATTCAAATATTAATATTAATTTGATCTTGATTATTGAGTTTCACTTTGTATTAAAAACACATATCTGTAAATTGAGTGGAAATTAGGATTCAATTTTTTTTTATGACAATAGATGATAATGTCAGATTTTGGATCTTCATAGATTTTGGAGTGATATGACCCTTTTTTTTTAAAATTGAATATTTAGTATTTTGTCACAGTCAAATTATAATATCAGTCCAAATGAGATGGTACTCTCAATTCTTTTTATCCACAAAATTTAAACACACAACCTTACTCATGCAATATTTCACTTGACCTAATAACAACTACTAAATTATATTTGCCTTTTTTTTTTCAAATATTAACATATACTCCTTTTTAAAAAGTCATTTTGTAAAAATCTTACCTAATCTAAAATATAAAATATTAGATATTTTTATATTAATTTTTTAAATTATATCGCTACTTCATTTATTATTTTTTTAAAAATAAATTAAAATTTTTAATTATTATTATCAATACTCTTATATAGAGTATTTAATGAAGGTATAAATAAAAAAATGTGGACATTTTTAAAAATTTAAAATTTAAACTAACATTTTCATAAATTATTAATTAATTAATTATGACTTATATTGTAGTTTGAAAAGAGTAATTGATTACCATAAAAAAATTTATGAAAATTTGAAAGAGTAATTAACATTATAATTTAAGACGGTTTTTGATAAATGATGTGATAAGAATCGGAGAGGGGGAGGATGTGCTTGTGTGTGGCTTGATTTCACTTGGCTTGCATCACTTGATAATATAACTATGACTCATATTGTGTTTTGAAAAGAGTAATTGATTATCATAAAAAAATTTATAAAAATTTGAAAGAGTAATTAACATCATAATCTAAGATGATTTTTGATAAATGATGTGATAGGAATAGGGGAGGGGAGGATGTGCCTGTCTGCGGCTTGATTTCACATGGCTTGCCTCACCTGATAATAGAGAGCAACGCACAGAAGATTGTCCATTTCTTCAACAGCACATGGGTCAGAGTCTGAGTCATCACCAACACCATTTTCGTTCACTATCAATCATAATTATGACCCAAAACCCATGAATTAACTCAACAATTTCATGGTAATTTTCATTCCCTCTCCTCATTTTTTTTAAGTTGCATTTAGATTTTACTGTACTTCTTTTAATCATAAGACACCTCTAACTACTTTATAAGAATTAAAAAGAGATGATTAAATTATTAATTTTATTTAAAAATATAATAAAATTTTAATTTTACTTATATTTAATTTTTTTTAAAAAAGATTTGCATTATGTTCTCTGTCACAATTAATGAGTTCCCGTAATATTAAAAAAAATATAATACATGCTCCATCAAGTACTTTATATTAATTAAAGACTAAAAAACCCTTTTTAGGAGGCACCCTGTAATAAAGAACAAAGAGGAGAGTGTGTGTGTATCATCTTCCAAATTCAAGTGTCTGTGAGTTCCAATCCAAGAACAAAACCTCAGATTATTATAACGTAAATGCATTTTAAGTATCTGAAACATTACAAATATTGTGGGAACGTCTCTTTATGTACGACTTCAAATTACAGCTTGGCATTATTACATACACTGCAATGCCGATCAGATACAATAGTGTGTATGTTCATAGTCTGAGGGACAAGTCAAGTTGATGCTGTTCCTCTGTGACAGGCCTTGGAGAGAACTTTGGAATAATCCCAGAAGTTAAAGAAGATGATGATTCAGATTCTGTAGTCCAAGCATGGTTGGCTCTGAATAACAATAATGGAGGCTTCTGGAAACGTGGTGGTTGAAAACAAGAAGAAGAGGAGGAAGAAGAAGAAGAAGGCTTGCGAATCATGGAATGGGCCTGAATCCCAAGTGGTCTGTTATGGGAGAAGCCATGCAAAGGAAGAGAAGCCATACATGAATGATAATACCTTCGTCCAAAATCTGCAGAAACATGTGAAGCATAATCTCCAACGTTGTTGTTGTTGTTGTTGTTGTTGTTGTGTCCTCTTTTTGCCAGAGTTCTCTCACGCTTGTGCGCGTTTTGGTGTCCTCCTAGTGCCTGCGAGCAATAGAATTTTCTGTCACAGTAGTTGCAGGAGAAGATCCTGCCATGGGGAGATTCAGATTGTGAGGATTGATTAGAGAGAGTTAGATCCAACACAAGACGAGGAGGGGATGACGAAGATGAACTAGGTTGTGGGTGATGCTGCTGTTGATCCTCTGTTTCTGTCTGTTTCTGGGTCTTGTCTGTTGTTTGGCTATCCATTATTGAAGAAATAGTCTCTGCAAAATCAGCTCATGTACGATGATGATGATGGTAGAGTTTGGAAGCTGAACAGCAAGAAAGATGAAGAATTGTGAGAGATGGATGTGATAATAGTAAATGCAGTAAATGCTCTGTGCTATGATTTGTGAAGTAGATATCATTATTCTGCATTTTCAAGGTCTTTTTATAGCAACGCCTAAGAGCGTCATTGTCAGCATCTAATGTCTTTGATCAAGTACGCTCATCGTTAAGGCTCTGTTTGGTATTGATTCCACCAAGTTTTTTTTTTTTTTTTCTTTTCTCCAAGACGAAACCCCCAAAAAACAAAACAGATAAAAGTTCAGTTTTTATATACATATACATATATATATATATATATTTGTTATGAGGGTTTTTTCTTATATGGCTATTTGATTAGATCAACTTTAAATATTTTCAGATTTAATTGAAAATAGTTCTTTAAAAAATGTCATTTTATATTTATACAGGTTCAACCTTAAGATTTCATATTTAAACGCTAATATACAACCCCTCCCACTCTGACTGACAATCTAACATAGGTAGTAAGGGAATTTTCTGTTGTCCTGAAATTTGGTATGAGTTATCATTCTAATTTTTTAATAGACCAAAATACTCCTAATTTTCAATTCTTTGTCTTGGTATTCTAGGAAATTTGAATAACGCTTCAAGTTTAAAAATTTGTAAAATACCAACACTCAAAAAGAAGGAGAATTACTTTGAACTCCCCACAATAAATTTAAATATTACTCAAACTTAACAAAGAAAAATGATAATTAAGTAATTATCATTTCCATTTATTAAATTGTGATAAATATATCTGTGAAACTTGTAGGTAATTTTTTTTAAAAAAAAAATACAAGGCTAGCGCACAACCGTTATATGTTTGTGGGCGTGCGCAAGCGCATGTAAATCACCTGCGTAGTATATATCATATGGCATCAAATGTATGTCATATGGCATCAACACGTGGTTATTATAATTGCACCGACAAATTCAGTACAATTTGCATATACACATTGTTTTCCATCTTTATTGGAGAAAATGTAATGAATGATTTATTAACAATCTTCTTGGTTTTTTTTTTTTTTACCATTTGTATTGTTTGCATATGAAAAATGATGGAAAAATCTCCCCCCCCCCAAAAAAAAAAAAATTCTTTGATGAGCAAAGACGTTGCCAAATGCCAATAGCAAGCAAACACTTATTCACCAACAGTAGTAATTTAGTTGACTGAAAAGGACTCAATTTCTTCTAGCAAGGCCAAAATGATATGTTATCAATCATCAAGCCAACAGAGATTGATCCGCTTAATAAAAATCAAATAAAAATCAATGTGGTTCATGACTCATAAGATCATAAATTTAAATTTCACTATGAATATAAAATTATTGTTGGCAAGCAAGTACCTTGTGCATTCTTTAAGCTCAAAGAGATATATCTTGACTCTAAAAAGCTTCAACGACCTAATTCATTTAAACTTTTATTTATAAAAAAAAATCAAATGTTATATACTCCATTCGTTCAAAAATATAAAGCATTTTTTTGAAGAATTGAATGTTTAAAAATGTATAGTATTTTTAGTCTTTCGAAATGTAATCATTACCTTGTTTTTCAAAAGTATTCCTATTGATAAATGACTTTATATTTATTATAGGGTATTTAATGGAGGTAAATATAAAAAGATAGGGTTAATTTAAAAATAAGTAATTATTTTATTAGAGGTGAGATTCAATTAAAAAATATATTATATTTTTAAACGGGAAAAGTATTTATATATCAAAAGATATCCTTATTTTTCTCTCTCTGAAAATATTATATTTGCAAGCTCTATCTCTCTATTTTCTCTCCTTTTTTTTTTCATAGTGGGAGTTACAAGGGTGCTTAAAACTTAAAAAACGGGTGTCTACATATATACTCCCTCCTTTTAAAAATATAAAGCATTTTTAATTGAATCTCACCTTTCAATAAAGTAGTTACCTACTTTCAAACTAACAATATCTTTATATATAAATATATATCCCTATTAAATACTTTACAATAAATATAAAGTCATAATTAATAGGGATACTTTTAAGAAAAAGACAATAATTATACCTTAAAAGATTAAAAATGTTTTATATTTTTAAACATCTAACTTTTTAAAAAATGCTCTATATCTTTTAAACGAAGAGAGTATATATAAAACTTAAAAAAAATTGAGCACTATCATATAGGCATAGTGATCCAATTATTGATGAGGAACACAACTAATTGACATTGAATTGGCCAATGTAATTTATTTGTAAGGTGCAAGCCACCAAACCGTAATTCCAATAGTAATAAGGAGATGAGTTGAGTCGAATTTAATTAAGTGCTTACTTTTGGTGTACCAATCAAAGAATCTACGAGGAACAACAATGTACGACTTTTGATAGCCGCATACTTTAATTTTTCCTTCCTCTCACTTTATGTTTGTCTTTTACATTTCAAATTATTTTAGTTTTCGGTCACACGTCTTTTCCTTGTATGTTCCATGTCTTTAATTTATCACACCCTATAGCTCCTACATTCGTCAAATTGTCTACTTTTTCACCAATAGGCTTGTCTTATGGTTCTCACTTTGGTCCTCTTTTTTTAAGATAGTTTTTTTTTAATAGTTTTTTTAATGAAAAAGCATTACTTTAATTCTTACATTTTATTCAAATTTTATTATAAATTCTTAATTTTATTTTATATTTCAGGTCCATACACTCTACTATACTACTGATCCGGCTACATTTTTAAAGAGATATTGATGTAATACAAATAATATTAATAATGCTGACATGTTAATTAACATTATTTATTTGGTACTTACATGTTAAGCTATAAAATTTTTAATAAGAAATAATTTAAAAAGAAAAGCTTATGCATGAAATTTGTGTGTTTTGTTGATCATTTAAAAAGTCCATGTTAGCCTTGCTATTTCATCTTATGTAGCCTTTTTTGAATATTTACTTATTAAAAAATGTCATGTCAGTATCAACTTGACACGTAAATATAAAATTAATAATGTTAATTGATATATTAACATTATTAATATTGTTTGTACTACATTAACATCTCTTTAAAAATGTAAGACCTAATGTTGCAAATAGAGAAAAATGTAGGAACTTGGAGCATGGAAAATAAAGTATGAGGAGCTACACTAAAAATTAAATAAGATGTAGGGACCAAAAATAACATTTTTTTCATTTTTAATATATAAGGCCACAAGCAAAACCGTAGGAACAAAATAAAAATTTAGATTATTTTTTTCAATAATCTTTGCTATTACAAGATTATTTTGCTAATTGTTTAATGCATAATTTTTTTAAATAAATTCTATTAAAGGTAATTCTTAAAAAAACTTTGAATTTAGATGTGGGGAGATTCGGATTTAGAGTTGAATTTGATTTGATTTAAATTCAAATACATTTTTTATCATAATTCTTTTATAATTTCATATTAATTATTTTATTTGATGTCCATTTCTTTCTATTTTCATTTTCCATCTCCCTCCTTCATTGTCTTTGAATTTGAAAATTTGTTATACTGTTTAAATAAAGAAATTTAAATGTATAAATTTTAGATGAGATTTTAAATTTAAAATCCAAATTCAAATAAACTAATTCAAACACTACATAAAAGTAAAACTTTAATTGAACTCATTAATATATGTGAAGTTGTTAACAACTACTGATAGTAAGGATCAGAAAGAATACTATTAGGTTACCAATTTTTTTTAACCTTAAGCTATTGGTGGATTAAATTACAATTATCTTCAACTTCAAAGTAAAGTTAGTTAATTACTTAGATATATGTTCTGGTGGAATTTCCTTTTTTTTGGCCAAAGGTTGGGGGCAAGCTAGCTTGAGATGCCAACTAATTTTTTTTCTAATAGTGTTGGCTATAATTATACAAACTCTCTCTCTCTCTCTCTCTCTCTCTCTCTCTCTGAGATATCATTTATAAATTACTTTTAATATTTTTTAACATAATAAAAAAAATTTAAACTTATTAATTTTGACTAAAATTTAGATAAATTTTTTACTTGGCCCATATTAAATACTCCTACATCATGTATATTAGTCAACTTCTACAAATATAATTTGGCCTACTTTATAAGTCATTATTTAATGAAATTGTTTTGTTTTAAATTAAAATTTTTAAATTATCCTTAAAATTAGAAGAGAGAAAGACAAAAAATAATATTATTTATTTGTTTGCTTTTTTCCTTTTGGATTATATTTAAAATTTTATTTACTTTTATTCTTTATATTTTTATTGTATTGATATTAATGAGATTAATAAAAATGACTTATAAATATAACTGAAGAGAGTAAACGTTAAAAAAAGTTTTTAAAACTTTCCTATGTCAACATTAAATATGAGTAAGGTGAAAAACTTGCAATAAATAATCAATATACTACCTTATCAAGGAGATCACAAAATCTCTCTTTCAATTGCTTTATAAATATGACTATAGTTTAGAGTGATTAATATTGCAATTTTTTTTTAATGGTTATTACTTTTTCCTCATGTTAGATCACAAACTTCAATGATTCCGTGGTGACGAAGAATAAATAATCCTTTGACTTGTGTTTCAGATTAACTCTAATAAATAATCCCTTGATAATTCTGAAAATTATATTATAAAAAAGTTTTTAAAAATAAAAAGTGAGAATAAAAATCTAAATCTACTATTTCATTTTCTTTTTCTTTTGTCTCTCTCTCCAAATAACCAAATAGGGTCCCTCCAATTGTTTTTATATAATCTTGTTAACAAATGTTTTTAGATTAAGAAAATTAGTAAAATAGTTAAAATTTGTTGAATTAAATTTTTTCCCGAAATTATTCAAAATTACCCTCAATCAAATTAAAGCTATTTCTTAAACTAATAGTAAAAAACTGAAAAGACGAGTATTTTTTTTTGAAGATGAATCATAAATTAAACTTTATAGAAGACCGTATATTAAGAAGCAATAGGTAGAGTTTTATAAATAAAAATAAAAGGAAGACATTATCTACACTCAATTTTGTGAATATAAAAAATGATAATAAAATCTTTTTAAATTATGTAAATAATAATTTGATCTCTTAAAATGCTATAATAGCAATGAACCCTTCAAATTATGTAAATGACAATTGGATCTTTCGAAATGCTATAATAGCAATAAAGTTTCTAGGACTTCTATGTTATTAACCTTTTTAGGAAAAAAATTATTTTACCCTTATTGAAAATAATAAGAGCCAATCACAACTTTTATTTAAAAAATTACAACTTTTTTTTCTGTAAATCACAAAAATTAAATAAAAAATTACAATTTATCAAATGTAATTTCTGTTATTAAAAAATAAGCTTCAATTATAAATTTTGTTCTATAAATCACAAAAATTTAACAAAAAATCATAATTTATTAAGTGTAACTTCTATTATTAAAAATAAGTTTTTAAAATAACAAACACCATTTATAATTTTTGTTTAAATAATCACAATTTTTTTTCAAAAATAACAAGAATTAAATAGGAAATTATAATTTGTCAACAAGAGTAAAATAATTTTTTCCTAAAAAATTTATTGACAAGTAAAGAGGTTTCTAAGAATTTTATTGATATTATGACATTTGATGTATCAACTTATTATTTATATAATTCAGAGGGATTTGTTGTCATTTTCCCAATATAAAATGTACGGTTGACTGGCCACTTTTTATTTTTATTTTTTATTGAATAGCCACTTTTAAACATAACCCACATGCTATAGAATGATTAGAAGTGGCCACCTTCATTATGATGTAAGAATGACGGGTATAAATATAATAGATATTATATATACACCTCAATGTATTATATACTCTCTCCAATTCTCATCCCTAATTTTAAGTCACGATTTTTAGGATAGTGGTCTCCTTAATTGTAAGATACTTTACAAAGTTTTAAGAGTAACTTAATATTTTCCCCCTAGAATGCTCCTGAAAAATGATTAAAATGACATAACCAGATTCTTAATAAAGAAGCAAAATTGGAAAGATGTAATATATATATATTTGTTATCCAAAATATCTTCACAATCACAACCGCAAGATTAATGCCTTAAAAAATTAGAGAGTTATTTAAGAAATTGTTCCTTTTCAAGATATACTTTTCCATGCTCATCTTCAAAACTAAAACCTTAGAATGATATTTAAAGAGTCCAAAATGCTACCATCTATGCCACACCTACTCAATAATAAATTTATATATTTTTTATATTTTTTATATCTTTATTTGAGAACAAAACTGGAAAGAAAAATTTAGACATCAACTAAACCATTTTCTTGTTATTTATATTGTATAAATTATCTTATAATTAGAGGCAAAAGGAGAAATTAAAAAAACAATAATTTATTTTAATGTTCTAACCAAAGTTTAACTTGGTATCAATATTTGTAGATATTACATATCTTCAATTTTGTGTAATGAAAAATTGACGCGTTTCTTACTTTCTAAGCAAGGTATAATAACTCTTGATTTAGTGATAAATATTTGATTCAACAAGGGACCATGAAGATATTTTAAAGAATACTAACAAATTTTTATATCTTTGTGAAACTTCTGGCATGAGTAACCCTTCCATCTCTACAAAACATTACACTTTCAGCTACAGGGTTGATGAACAACACACCACTAAGTACTAACAACCAAAAAAAAAAAAAAGACCAAAAAGATAATACAAACGATTGATCCCAAGCAATCAGCTGAATTTTCAACAGTTACAACACAAGCAGCCACCAAAAGAACAGAACACTCTCATTTGGTCAACCAGTATATGAAAATGAGGAATGTGCATACTGATGCAACAAGGGAAAGTATGATCGTATCCATTGACTTCTTTCGCTTTATCGCCGACAGAATGGTATTTACCTGAAACATCAGTGTGACAGGCACATCAAACAGCGTAAAAAACATGGATATGGGGCACAAATTGCAAACACAACAAAATCAAAGACTTAGACGTTATGCCTAATGCAAGTATCTGACAGGGTTGTTCATAATGACAGTTTAGTTTTTTAAGCATTTGCGCTTCATAGATTCTTTTCTTTGCCTAGGTAAAAGGCATCAGAAGAGAGAATTTCAAAATGATTCAAACACCAAAAACTATATCTATAAGGCATACCGTTGGAAGGCGACTGCTGACATTACTGAGCTTTGAATTGATTCCACCAAAAGTCGAACGTTGGGTGACAAGTGCACCAAGTGTGGCTTGTGCTTGTGAAATAACATTGTCCATCTGCAGCACAGGGATAAGCAGAAGAATTCAAAACAAGACAGTACAAGTTGAAGATACCAGAAATATCGGCCCCCCTGAGAATTCATGTGACAGCATTTCCATACGACCCTGGAAAAACATTTTAAACATCCATACTAGCACACAGAAGAAAGGGCCCTACTATTTCTTCAAGATGACTGACGTTAAAGTTACTAGCTCAATCTCCACAAAAATCTTAAAAGGCTAGGTTACTGTTTTCCCCTTCACTATAGATACACTGGCATTCATTTTTCCCTTTTGTTCATTGAAGGGGAAAAAGAACATACAGTGTTGATAGAGTTTAATTTCACTGCCAGTATTGTCCAAAACTGAATTTTCCCTATTTGTCAAACCAGAAAACATGCCTACAAGCAGCTGTTCCTCCTTAGTCCTTACAAGATTTTTTTTTTTTTTTAACTTCCTATAATTCTATAAGCAGCAAGATTACTTGCCATTACTTACAAATGAAATTTCAACAAAAACCTTACTATAAACCATCTCTTCTCATAAAAACTTTCAGTATCTGATCACACAAAGAATCAGATTACCTTTCTTTCTTTCTTTTTGAGCATGCTGGGACTGAAACAAATTTCTTCTTAATTCTCATCAAAACCCCTACAATCTTGCAAGATCAAATCTGTGGTTTGAGTAATTGTGTTAAATCCCTAGACCAACTTCCTAAGCAAACAGATTCGCAATACTCAGGCCAAAAGCAAGAATCACATATTATACAAAATTAAAGAATTCCACTGAGAAGAACTGATGAAAAAAATTAAGATAACGGCTAATATCAGAAAATCCAAGTAACTGTTTCATATGACAGACCTGTCCTGTACTTCTGCTGATAGAAGCATGCTCCTTTAGTAGTGCTTGCTCTGCAGAACCTCCACCCTCTTCCAAGTCCAATCTTGTCCTATCAAACTCTTTAAAATCCTCAAGGAGTGAAGCGTGCTCCTGCTTAGCTCTGAGGCTAGATCGGAGACGATAAAACTCCTGCAGTTAAAAAATATCTAACAACAGGTTGGTATGCAGCAGGTCTAACACCAGTTAAAAATCTTCATATGGTTGAAAACGAAAAATTTATGAAAATTAATTTAATAAATAGTAAGGTACAAAATTAATTTCACCTATCCTTTATCATAACACCCCGAGCAAAAAAAAAAAAAACAAAAAACAAAACAAAACAAAACAAAACAAAATAAAACAAAAACAAAATTAAACAGAGGCTCAAAAAGAATGGACACTCAGCACTGAGCATTGGTTGACCTGAATATTTATTTCACTGATCAAAAGATTAAGATTCTTGCATGAAATAACCACCCACTTGTTGTATGTTTGATTGTAGGAAACAAAATCACTTCGAAATTCATTTTTCAAAAGTTAGATCGTTTATTACCCTAAGCCTGAGACACTGAATTTAAATTTACCTTTTAATTTCAATCCATTCCACTTGGAGGAATGAGACCTTTGCACCAGGGTGCATATCAAATATCTATCCCATGTTTACAAGCCTACTTCACTGGAACAGTTCAAATTCAAAACACCATACAAGGATAACTGCACACAAACTAACACTATAGCTTACCTGGGTGAGATCTTGAAGAATTTCTTGGTGCCTGGTCAAGGTATGAGAAACCATTTCTGTGCCACCAGATGATACCCAGGCTTGCATCTGTGAGTTCACTTGTTGGAGTTGTTTTAGTAGCCGCTCAATCCACGACTCCATATCACTCTCCGCATTATCAACTTTTGAAGAAGCTTTAGCAGAAACCAATTTACGATAAGAATTCATTTGCTCATCCAACTGAGCTTCGAGTTTTCTCGCCTGCAAAAGACCAGAGACACATTGCTTTAATCAATCATCTATTTGAAAATGCATAAAATGCATAAACAAGGTAACCGCATCAAATTCTCCTTTCAAAATCAACGCAAGAACCCCTTTTAGGATGTTTGAAAACATCAAATTCCCAAAATATATATATATATATATATATTATTGCCACTGGCAGGCTTCAAGGAAACTTAATAGGGTATCTAAATAATTCAATCAATACCAAGATCACCATCAAGAGAATCAAATCCCTAAGCAAATTAGGCATCCTTCTAATTTGTCTGTCCTAAATCCGATAAAAACCGACAGTTAGCAAATCATGAACCAAAATATAGGAACAAAATAGCCCGACGCGTTTCAAGTCTTCATGATTCGTCCGATCATGAAATATAAAACAGAACATAAACCAGAGAAAGAACTTCTTGTTATAAAACATGCATTGATCTGCCGCAAGAATAAGACTTAGTGAGTCCAATTCATTAACGGAAGCTTCCCTCGGCACCCAGAAATAGCTTTCCTCTATTGGAAAACAAAATTCTACAAACCAGACCAAGTCATCGTGTACAAGCTGATCTCGCGAATTCAATCACCGACAACATGAAAGAATCTTACGAACGGAAATTGCACGCCCGGGGTCTCCAAATTGCAGAAATTCAAGCCATTTGTCTAACTTAAATGCAAGAAAAAAAATAATACAGAATTCGAAGGCAGAGAGATTGAACCTGTTTGCGAAGTGCGTCCCACGAACTCGGCACCTCCATGAATGAAGAAAGATGAAGAAAAACAAATGGAACAATGGAAATTTCTTACTCTCAGAATGTGGGAATGTTGGGCGTCCTTCGGGGGGTGGGGATGCGATTAGGCAGTCGTTTGGCGAAAGATGACAGGCCGTCTGCTCCCCGCAGACGACGATGAACAATTTTGAGATCCAACCAATAATAAAGGCTTTGGCGAGAAAAGATTTGTTTCGGTGGGTAACATCGTAACAAATAAGAATTAATATTAATTATAAATTATAATCATAATGTAATATTTACAATTTATAAAAAAATATTATAGAGTAAGATACTAAAATATGCCATCTACTGTTTTATTTTATCTTAGTTACTTAATAAGACGCCTCTTTACTTTAAAATTAAATATGTTAATATCATTATGATTTGTAAGAATTCTAAAATAATATTTCTTAATTAAATTTATATTTTGTGGAAAAAGAAAATAAAATTTATATGTATTCAAAACTTCTCTGAAATTTAAAACAGTTGTATAAAATCCTCTAATTTAAAATTAACCTTCTTAGCATTTTATTTTTTACCATATGTTTTCATATTGTTATTTTTTTAATTCTTACTAATAAAAGTTGTCATATTATATTAAAAAAAAAGACATATATTAACTTATATAGCATCTAATGTAAACTAATAGTAGTTTTACAAAAATTTTGTCTATATTTTTCTATTATTATTAGCTTATATCACATGCCATGTAAGTTTAATGTTATGTGTCTTTTTTAAATATAACATGATAATTTTTATTAATAATATAATTAAAAAATAATAAGAAAATATACAGTAAAAGAAAATAAAAAATTAAAAAAGTTAATTTTAAAATTTTAAAACTAGAAAAATTGTGCAATGGCATAAAAATTTAGAAGTTTTATATATTTTACCAATTTATAGTTACTAATATCCTATCTATCCAAAATGTGAGGACTTCAACTAGGGAAGCACTATATTTCATATTACATTCTGCCTCCCAAAAAGAAGGGAAAAATAAAAGTAATGACCCGTAAACTCATAAAAAAAAATAATTACTATTAAATTAAGATTTTTTTAAATAGAATTAATACTAAATTTGAAAATTTTAATCCTTGACGTTAATATTTCAACGAGTTCCTTGTTTGTCATCCTCCTCGTGTAACTTTGTATGATGTGGCAAGCGGTGATTGGCATTGCTTGCGTGGCAGTGGAAGGAAATGAAACTTGACTTATCCCATTATTTAAAATTGCGTGTGTTGTAAACTTAAATAGAAATAGTTTTAAAATAGAAAATAAAAAATTTAGTAAAAGAATTATTTATGAAAAATTTTATCACAAAAATGCTTTACCATATAAAAGAGATGTATCAATTTTTTTTAATGTAAATTAAAAACATGATTCTAGTATATATGAAAAATATTTATATAAAGAGAGCATTTTATGTTATTATAGTTTTACGTTTTATGTATTTTTTAATATTTAATTTTATTAACATATTCCATTAATATAATTTAATAGATATTTAAAATTATTTATTTTATAAACATATTAATATTTATTTTAAGTATAAATTATGCTCCATTGATTAATTTTTTTTTTTTTGGTCCATCACTATTTGAGAACCTATTATTCGTATCAGTTTTGATCCTACAAAACATTAGCATCTCGAGTTAGCAGATATTTTTGTCTCTTAATTATTTGATCAGTAACGTCTCATGTCCTTAACTTACATGTAATAATTTTGTCTTTCAAAATTTAAAAATGATGTCAAAAAAAAAGTTAACTTTAACATTTAGTTGATTGTAAAAATTACAAAAAATATTTCAAAAATTATAAAAAAAATGACCCATTAAATTATACATGGGTATCCTATAAGAAAATTAATGTAAATTAAGTCCTTTAAGTTACATATAAATAATAGCAAACAAATCTTATTTCTTACCTACTTAAAAAGCCAAAATATAATTTTGACCAACCAATATTTTTTAGATTTACTCCCTCCATTAAAAAAGATAAAGCATTTTTTGAGGAGTTAGATATTAAAAAATATAAGACATTTTTAGTTTTTCGAGGTGTAATCACCATTTTTTTTCAAAAATGCCCTTATTGATAACAACTTTATATTTACTGTAGGGTGTTTAATAGGGGTAAATATGAAAAGATAGGGTTAGTTGAAAAATAGGTAACTACTTTATTAGGCGGTGAAATTCAGTTAAAAATGTTTTATATTTTTGAACTGAGAGAGTAATTGATATTAATTTTTCTGTAAGGTACTTATTTGCAACTTTGTAGATGATTTTTTTTATTTTTTAAGTTTTTTTTTGTAATTTTCAATCAATTAAAGACAAAAGTCAACTTTTTTTAACAGTAAGTTGCCCAATATATTATTTTCAAATATTGAAACATAAAATTATATCACATATAAATTTAAGATAGTAAATACTCCTAAGAGAATAGTTAAGAGTCCTTGAGTATGTTCACAGTGTTCTTTTAGCAGTTCTCATTTGTATTGTAATCAAATATTATTTGACTTGTACATCAGAGATTTATCCTTTTCTTCCTTCCGCAAGCATACTGATTTCCAAATTTTGATAGCAGGTGAGGTTCGTATGCTCAGAACCAGCTAAGAGCATTGATTAGTTTGAAGTGCTTTGTTACGATGTTTTATTTATGTATGCTTCAAATTTACTTGCACGGATTGCTTCAAGAGGACAGACCAATGCTTTAGCGAGATTGTTATGGTCACAGATACAGAAATTAATTAAAAGTTCAGAATAATGATGTAAATACACAAAAATATAGAATGGCAGACACGTAATTTAAAATGTATTTTTCTCCACAAAAAAAAAATAATAAAGAGATGCATGCCATAAAATGTTCGAAATTTAAGTCATTCTTAAACTGCATCCTTCTTCGGAGTTAGCAGTGCTTGTCCAATTATCATTTTTTTTCCTTGATAGAGCCCCTAAATTCAATGTTTTAAGGTTTTGTGTTAAGATGTAGTGTCATCTTTATTTATATATTTTCTGGACCATTAGGTGGCTTAGTTATATTTTCCTATCTTCCAACACTACAACATTTTTTGTCTATAACAACAGTATCTAACATAACAGTATTTTTGACAATGTAAGACCATAGGAAACAAAGCATTGCAACAGCTCTAAATTGTAGTTGTAGGCTTGTGGCGCGAGAAGCTGCCTGAGCCCAACACTCTCCACATGCAAGTATGCACTCGCAATTCAATGTTATAGCATAGAAAGTGAAACCTGAGGAACATGTTACCAGACCTTATTGCAGAAACACTACACTGCAACATAAGCAAATTTTCTTTTGAAAGAAGGAAAAACTCCATTTTGACTTTGATTAAATGTCAACATGAGAAGTAGCTTCTACATAATTAGAACAAGTAATTTAAATCAAGTTTGACGTGCTAATCTAAAAAAATTTAGGGTGAGACTTTGTAAAATGATGGTTTTTTAATGTTCAAGTTTGTTCGGGCCAACTCAAATAGGCTTGAAAAATTTTTGGCTAAGCCTAATTGGATTCAGGTTTGGCCCAAATACTCAGATAACAAAATTATATGTTAAAAATATATATAATATAAAAAATATTAATTCTCTAGGTTTTAGGTTATTTTATGCTAAAATATCATATATTGAGTGCATTATTATAAAAATAAAAATATTTATATTGTCATATTTTTATTATTTTTAATCTATAAAATATCTCAAAATAATATTTAAAATATATTTTAATATTAATTTCTAGATTTAAGACCCGTATATCTTTTTAAAAAAATGTTGAGTCTTGTACATCGTTTAAGCATCCAAAAAATATATTTCATATTTTTATAAAATAAAGATAATTAATTTTAAAATAGAAAATCAAATTAAAATTAGTTTTTAAAATAAAAATGCAGGTATTCAATCCCTTGAAACTCAAATGAATTCAAGTCGGGTTTAATTATTCAAACTTTTTAAAAAGTTCAGGCTTATTCAGACCTAGCTTATCCAAACTACGGGCTCTATATGCAATTTCAATTAATTGGCCACATGAATCTATTATTCCATGACTTGGCAAGATATAAATCATTCACAAATAAAGTGGAAAAAAATTGCATAGCTCACCTCAGTAAGCTTCGGATCACAAAGAGAGAATGCCTACTGTAAAAGAAATAAAGAGTTTTTTTGGATTATTATCACATTAAAAAGCAGGAGAATTAAGCCACATCAGTTAGCACATCAAGGTAAGTATAAACTGTATAAAGCTAGATTAACAATTTTGAGAAATTTATCAAGAACTAACCTCCCCCATAGAGAGCACTTCTAAACCATCATTTTGTGATGTGCCATCCACAAATGGGTAAGACCTTATAATGGGGTAGAATGATCATTTTGCCATGTCGCATGTTCAAAAAAATTTAGAAATACCCCTCCACATTCAATCTTGCGGCAAATTAGAGTCATTAATATTTCCCGGGATGAACCTATGCCATCTTGTTTCTAGCAGCTTACCTCATATGGGTCATTCACAGTCAAATCTGCATATAAAGCTTTTCAATCCCTTAGCTCGCATGATGCAGATAAAAAATGGAATCATGTATGGAAACTGCCTTTTGCTCAGCGAGTCAGAACTTTTCTCTGGTTACTATTCAAAGGCAGACAGACTTCTGACCAATTCAGAACGAGTAGGAAGAAAGATGGCTGATGATATGCAATGTTCTCTTTGTATGGATGCTGTGGATTGTGGAATATATTAATCATGTCTTTAAGCACTGCTCATTCGCAGCCTCCATATGGAAGAAGATATTACCAGTTGCTTTGTACGCTGAATTATGCAAGGATATATAATAGTGAACCATGGCTGTGCAACATCCTTCAATTTACAGAAGAATGAATATTTCTTGGAAGGTGGGAATCAGCATATGCTGGAAATTATGGGAAGCACGTAACCATAGGATTTTTGCTGGTGAACAAAACTCTCTAGATATTTTTCTTGTACATATTAGGATTCTAGTTGATCATACGCTTAAAGTCTTTTCAACTTTTAAGTCTCTGATATAATTGGCTTTTGCTATTTTGTTTCTGTATAGTTTTAATCAATGAATTTCCCCTTTCCACTTAGAAAAAGCCTTGTCCGCCCCCTTCATATTCCCATGTATTCTTGACAATCCAATAGTCCATTCTAAATGTGTCATTATCAAGACCAACAACAGTTACAACATGGTTGGGCTTTTTTAATCCTTTTCTCAAACTTTATGATTATTTTCTATCAAAATCCCCTGCCATCATAAAAGAAATGCAATTAATTAATTATGAAAAAACTAAAAAATGTTAGATTTAAATATCTTGACACATATTTACTTGGGAAAATCACAATTAAGGATCATTTGAGACAATTAATTACACTGCAAGATCAAATGATTCTAATATTACTCTATAGAATCAAAGGATCTAAATTAAATTAGAGTTTATTGTGAAAAGACAAAACTACCCCTTATATGTGTAGCAACTTTTCATTGTTGGCAAAAAAAAAAAACTTCCTATTCAGACAAAAAAAATCACATTTTTATTTTAATATCAATTAATTCCCTTATTAACAGCTCTAAAAAATAACTTGATTGTGGAGAAGAAAAAGTGTTGTAATTTAATGAATTAGTTCCTATTCAAGAAAAAATAAATCTCATTTTCATTTTAGTAACAATTAATTTCCTTATTAACAAATTCAAAAAATTAACGTGGTGATGGAGAGAAATAAATGTTGTCATTTGATAAACAAATCCCATTTTTATTTCAATTCATTTATTAACAACTATAAAATATTAACTTGGTATAGAAAAATTGTTATAATCTAGTAAACAAGTTTCCATTTGAGAAAAAATATATCTTATTTTTATTTTAACAACAATCAATTCCCCCATCATAACAAATATATCAGGGGTAGTTTTGTCTTTTCACAATAAATTTTAATTATATTTAAGTCCTTTGATCTTGTAAAGTACTATCAAAATTATTTTATCCTACAACATAATTAATTATCTTTCAGTTGTATTGTGATTTTCCCTCTTTTACTTCTACAATTCATGTTTTAGGATCATTGATGGCAATGACAAGCAGTTTTATCACAACTTTTTCCAACTCACCCTCGTTGTTTTTGGGGATATTTGCAAAGCCATCGATGTAGGCTTTGGTGCGAAAGTTCCTCCTTTCGCCCCAATTAGGTGACTCGGTGTATGGGTATTCTAAATCTGATGTAACCCAATTTTCCTTGAAGAACTCTCTAAGACATCTTTTGAGCTTCCCCCGAGGCCTGGACACACACGCCATCTGATATATAGATGGTATAATCAAGGATGTGTTGTGAGGCTAAGTCAACCAAGACACCAGTTTTGATTTGAATTAGCCCCTCTACAACGGCTAAAGCAGAGAAATAAAGCAAATATCTATGACAATAACAATTAATATAAGCAACATAAATTAGACTGAAAATAATATATTTCAATCAAGGACTCGTGGCTTACTAGAGTGTCCTTGATTTTCACTCCCTCCTTTCCTCCAATCAACTCATGGAACAATGTCTAGTTGCATCCTTTCGCTGTCTAAAAGGTAAGAAACTAAACAGATCGATAGTAATATATCTAGGAATTTTGTTGTCCTTAATATTATTTAACTGCTTAGTTTCTTACTTTTTAGATAGTGAAAAGGTGGAACTAGACATTCCTCCATAAGTTGATTGGAGTAAAAGAGGCGTGGTTACGACAGTGAGAGATTAAAAATGTTCTGGTAATTCATTTAATATTTATCAATCTAGTCTGTTGTTCTGCATTTTCTTTTTATTTTTTTGAATAAAAGCAAGGAAACTTCTAAGTCTGTTTTTTTACATTAATAATTATATTTTTTTAATTAATTTATATAACTGCTATCAACATTCCGTTATCTACATTAATAAATTTTAACAATGTTACCTTCTATTTAAATAATATGAACTAAATCAATAATAAAGATAAATTTAAGAAACCATGTTGACAAAAATTAAACTTGAAAAACTAAGTTAATAACTGAAATAAATTTAAGAGACCAAATTAATAAAAATTAAATTTGAAGAACTAAATTAATAATTCACGCAACTTTAAGGAAATAAAAGTTTTATTATCCCAAATATTTATGCATTTCCCGTTAATGAGATTTTCTCATTTCCTGTGTGATTAAATTTTTATTCTTACTAAGTATAAGTCACATCCTTGCTAACTAAGACGAAGTTTAATTAGCAGCTCAACTTTATTTTAGCATGTATGAATTGGTTGGTTGCTTTTTCTATCACGCTTGGCTGAAGCATAAGCTTTTTCATTTCTTTGGATGCAAGATGATGATAGCAATAATTAGGAATCATAACAGAAAACACACTCACACATGTTTTTACATTATTCTCTGTTCCCTTCAACTGAAATCTTTCATTCATTCATATATCAAAAAAAAAAAAAACAGAGAGAGAGAGAGAAGACAATCTAGTATATATACATGTATCACACAGCACTCCTTTTGGCTACTCCCATTCCTAATATATGATATATGATGAGCAGGCAAAAAAGATTACTAATTAATTCTCGCTGATCAGTACTCATCGCTTGATTGTAGCAATCTTCTGACAAAAGCATTGTGAAGTCGTGTTTATTTATTGTTGGGTGGGATGATCAGATTCAGTCAAAGTCACCTTCTGAAGCTGCCAGGGGCTGAAGTGATTGTAGCCTTGGCCTCTTCTTCTTGTTCATCAGTAAGCTTCACTAAAGTATAAGTGCCTGCTCCACACAAAGCTCCAAGTATGGGAGCTATCAGATACACCCAAATGGCTCTATAGTTATTTGCTGCTATTGCTGGGCCCAGTGTTCTTACTGGGTTCATTGACCCTCCTGATGCTGGCCTGTATCAAATTAATAGACTTATTTATAAATAAGTTCTGTAAATTTGATAAAACATGTGTGGTGAAATTCTAAGATGCCTGTGTCATTTATGACAAGTGCAAGATGATGAAATTGCACCTAAGAGATTGACTTGTACATCCAGGATGTTAACATGCAAATCAACAGACTTGTTAGGAAGTAATTTCTTCCTTTTGCACTTGTTAATGAATAATTTTTATTTATTTAAAACTTCCATTTACCTATTTATATATATATCCATAGACTTGAAGAAACAAAGGAGAAACTGGTTTGTTTATAAACTAGTCTCTTTACTGACTCACGGCTCATACTCTTTTAAAGCAAAAGATTGTGGGTTCGATGCCTATGGTAAAGCTCAAACTCTTGTATATATCCATATATTTGACCGTCCAGATTTGAGATAATATTTTATATTTTTAATAATTTTTTAATAGGTATATGATATAAAATAAAAATAATTTTATAATTATCACTTTGTCAAAAAATTACACGTTAAAAATTTTTTAAGTCATGGGATTTGACTTTTGTTGACGAAAAACAAATTAAATCACATCACTGCCGTATGAAATACTGTAGTTATAAATATAAATTGGATTTATGTTTTGGACATACCCGGCGATGAGGATGTTGAGCATGACAGTGGCTCCCACCGCGATTCCCGCAAGCTCTCCCACCTGTATCCAATTCATTCATCATCATCAATTTATCATCTCCAATAGTCAACTGAGCTTCTCAGATTATATCACCAAATCTAAATTATTATATTATATAGGATAAATGAGTAAATTGCTGCTTACTTTTTAGGATAGCAGTCGTATGATTATTAAACTTTTGAAAAACGATCCAATCTATTTTTTATAATTAATAAAAGTTAATTTTAATTTTTAATTAATCAAAAAATAATTAAAAAAGACTTTAAAAATTATAAAAAATGACCGAAAGAGTAGTCTGTAATTTTTACGTACTTTATTATAATTTTTAAAATTTTTTTATATTATTTTTTAATCAAATGATAGTTAAAGTTAATTTTTATTAGCGACAAAGTTAAATTATATTATTTTTAAAAGTTAAAAAAATAATTTATACAATGAAAGAATTCATAATTTATTATACTATTTGACTTAAAATTTAGAAAATAATTTATTTATTTAATTTACTCTATTACTGACTTCATTCAAAAATATAAAATATTTTTAACTGAATCTCGCCCTTAATAAAATAGTTATTTATTTTAAATTAATTTTATTTTTGATATTTACTCCTATTTAATAGGATATTTCACCTTTAAAAAATATAAAGTAGTTTATTCAATAAAAATATTTTTAAAAAAATAATAATTACACTTTAAAAAATTAAAAATATTTTATATTTTTTAATATTCAATTTCTTAAAATGTGCCATATTTTTTAAAAGGGAGGGAGTATATGTTTTATATACGCTTCTTGTTTTTCTTTATAGTCGCTAACAAAACAAGTCTATCAATCTTCCTACGTTCCTTTCCATCTGGAACTTTCATAAATGCACCGAAGCACATAAAAGGCGAAAGCAATAACCAGACAACGCTTTTCACACTCTAGAGATTCAAATCACTAATAATAATGGCATCAACATAAAAACACACACAAACACAAAGATTCTTACGGCTCTTGTGTCGGTGGCCACGGCAGTGACGACGAACATGAGATTAAAACTGATGATGAACTCCAAAGCAAAGGCTTGGCCATATCCTCCTGAAGGAACCGTGACTCCTCCATTCATGAACGGATGAAATATTCCCTTCAGTGCAAATGCTGCACATATCGACGCCATTACTTGCGCTGCGATGTACACCGGAACCTGCAAATCACTTCACAAAATCATGTGCCTGCCGTTTTAATCTTTATCATCAGAGATTTGTGCACAAGCATGGCTCAACTCATTACATGTTTCCATGGGAAATGCTTCAGTGCAGCAAAGGAGATGGTAACCGCCGGGTTGAGATGAGCGCCGGAGATGTGGCCGGTGGAGAGGATGACGATCATGACGGCAAGACCAGTGGTGGCGGCGCATCCGATGAGAGTCTCAGCGCCTTGTGTCTTCTGATTCACTATTGCAGCGGCGGTCCCTGCAAACATGAGAATGAGAGTGCCTATGAACTCAGCTCCTACCTGTTGCAGAATCAATCAACACATGAAGGAGAAATGGGTCAGCGTTGGATTCACAATTTTCTCATCAAAATCTCATCTTTTTCTGTATTTATCTCTTTTAGAAGTCAACCAAAGCAAAACTAACACAGGAAGGAAACATGGGTCAGGGTCGGACTACCCATTTTCTCATAAAATCCAGACCTTTTATGATTTTCAGAGTTTTTGAAACCAACCCAACAAAATTAACACATGAAGGAAAAATGGGTAAGTGTTCGATGACAAATTAGTCATAAAAATTTGAACTTTTTCTCTCTATGAACATTCTGTGTAATGCTCTGTTTTTAGATTTGATGTACCTTTCTTGCAAGAGGGATAGGAGCGGGTGGCAATGAACAGAGACTCTGGGCAAAGCTCCTTCTTCTACATTCCATTCTTTAACACTGAAACACTTACAATTCTTGAGAAGTGATTTCTTCCTTCCATAGCCGTTCCCATTACTTCTCTCAGACTTGAGACCTCCAAAAAGAGGTCCACCAGGGTTCCTGGTGTTGCAGGTGCTGAAGGAATCTCCTCTTGAGACCTCCAAAAAGAGGTCCCAGGGTTCCTGGTGTTGCAGGTGCTGAAGGAACCACCCCCACACAACTACCAAAGCTAGAGAGAGAGAGAGAGAGGAGAGAGAGAGAGAGAGATGGCTTGAAAGTTTATGTTTTCAATTGTTTGTCTCTCTTTGATGAGAGTGCTTGAATGGTATGGTATATATAATGGAGTGTAGTTGACTTGTGGAATCACAATAGAAGAGAGAGAAAGAAAATTAGTGGTTGAGAGTTGAGACATGAAGAGAATGAGAGAGAAAGAAAAAAAGAAAAGAAAAAGAAAATCATACTAGCTAGCAGCTTTGGAGTGGATAGTGGGGCATTACAAGGAGCCATGAATATGGGACTTGAGAAAGAGGCTTTGTAATATAGATCTCTTCCCTTTATTACCAAAGCGTGTGTATACACATACACATTACATCTGCGGAGAGAGATGTGATGAAGGGGTGGGTGAATATGATATGATGAAATAACTCTATTTAGTCATTTTTCTTAGGCCACTTTTTTTTTTTAGATGTATTAATACACGATAGAATTCAATTTATACCACGAAATGGTGGGACAGATAAGAAAAGAAAAAGGTGTGCATATACATATAAAAAATAACAGCATCTTCACATGGGGAGCATTATTTCCGTCATTAGCTATATATTGCATGGGAGTGCATCACTATTCAATTTAATATACTAAACAATTGCCAAGTAAAGTGGAAGGGAAGATCAACTTAATATACTAGCAATAACTATGGCTAAATTGGATTTTTTAATGACTTAAAAAAAAAGACTAACATATGTTGATAATTAATGAACTTGGCCTGAAAAATAAAATAAATTTGTAGTGTATAAATAGTTTTGGCGGTGTTTAAAGTGAAATCAGGCTCATTCCAAGTTAACTCATTCATTGACAATAAAATAAAAATACATTACATAATGGTCTAACACCAATTACATTTGAACTTAATATGTGGTATATCAAAGTGTTCAACATATTAATCATCAAACGGAGTAATAAGATTTTAACTTGAATATTATCTATGTCAATATTTTGAAATTGTGAAAAAATTAATGTAAATTATTTATTGACTCGTCAGAGATGAGAAGATTTTATCTAGTACTCAAATTATTAATGAAGTATTTGAATTTGATTTATGCAAGATAACTAGCCGTGGTTAAATCAAGTGGCAGAGACTTAATGTCCTTTAAATAGCTCTCTAGTTTAATTCTTGTGAATATTGTAAAAATTACATTTAGAGAACTTCCCCTTTAAAATTCGATACAGCTCCTATTTAAATTAAATAACAGTATCAGATACATATTATTGTTACCATAATTTGAGGTATGTCAAAGCCTCTTTTTTTTACAGAAGAATATCATTGTCCAGTCTATTAATTAAATTGATTTTTTTTTTGAAATACTGATAATTGGACTACTAATTAAATCGATTAAGCTGCTAATTCAAGAATTAATAGTTAAAATTGCTCATAGTTGAACTATAATCAAATTAGTCATAAAAAAACATTTCATTAAATTATTAGTTCAACAATTTATCAATTCAATCAATTGAATTCATCCAATTTTCAATATTATAGTTTATTTCCACCATCTTTCACATATATTTGTTTAGCATTGAACAATCCAGACCAAATGAATAGGGGATACCCACCCCCCTGCTGTTCTTCCAACTTGCACACGATATGTCCATGTTTCCCGATTAAGGGAAAGAAAAGGGAAAACGGCACCTAAGGCCCACATATCAAACAAATTGGCACATAAGGCCTAATATATATTGAATTTATTCTACAGGTTTAAAGGCCTTACAATTACATGCAAATATGTTTTTGTATATGGTAAAAAAACTTATCTACCCCTCATTTGAAAAAATAGCATCGTGCGTACATTGTTTTGTTAATGTGTGAACCTTGTCATATTATATATGATATTCTGTTGTTCATAATACATCTAAAAAACTTATATATTATTATTTAACTAAACCACACAAATCAATTATGTAAAATGAAAAGATATTGTATTATTAATGTATGGACCTTCATGTCATGTTATATATAAATATTTTGTTGTTCATAAATTTAAAAAACTTGTATATTATTGTTCAACTAAATCACATGGACTATTTATAATAAAGGGACATTGTACTATTAATGTATGGATCTTGTCATGGTATAAAAGGACATTTTATCGTTCATACACTTAGAGAACTTGTATATTATTGTTTAACTAAACCACACAATAATGCATAATAAATGAACATAATGTTGTTAATGTATGGACCTTGTCATGTTATATATGAATATTTTATTATATATACACCTGAAAAACTTGTACATTCCAAATGAGGGATAAATGAGTCATTTCACCAGCAAATATATGCATATAAGGCTTTTAAACTTGCAGCATTAATTCAGAATGTATTTAGCCTTATGTGAAAATTTCTTTAATTTGGGGGTCTTAGGTGCCATTGCCCAAAAAAAAAAGCATATTTGTATATTCAAAAAATTTGTATTTTTTATTAATACTTTATGGCCACTTGTATATGTATTATCTTTTATCATAAAGTGCATCTGAAAATTAACATCATGATGATGTTGTAGAAAAATTTTAACCAACATGTGGTGATTCTATTTACAACTTGAGAAGACATACAAAGTTTGGCATGCATGTGAAATTGTGTGGACCAAGCTTTTTTTTAAAAAAAATTCAAAATAATGTTTATCAAAATAAACTAAGGAGATATTGATTCAAGGAATCTCAGTACGTATATCTCACTATATAAGATGAACATTTAAATAATTTAACTAAAGTTTCGGCCACAAAAACAAACAAAAGAAAGAGCCAAACTTGATTTAATTGATCATAAATCAAGTATTTATCATGCGTCCACTCAATGCCTACCCTCCAAGAAATTAAATATAGGAGCCTATACGCAGTAAAGGAGATTATTATAAATATAACGAATGATTAATGATTTTATTTATTTAAAGTGATGATTACGAACATATTAAGAGTTGTTTCAATAAGTTAGTGTGATTCTCATTCATGGAAAAAAGGGGAAAAAAAATTAGTGCATGTTGGACAGCTAAGGAATACAAATAAAGAGAGCCTATATCTCTACATAGCGTGTGCGTCTTCTTCACTAATTTCTTGTTTTCTTAAATGTCTTCATCTCTACCAAACGCAAACACACTCTTTACAACTCTGCTAGAGAATGTATATTGATGCACAAACCTTCTTTAGCAAGCAAATCGAAAAGATTTCAACACACACAAAAGAATTATAGCTAGATTTAGTAGAGTTATAGCAATTCCCATAACATTAATATATATATTGTTGATTTGATTTTAATATTTATCATAAATAACTTTTTAAAGGTAATTTTATATTTTGAAGTAATATTAATAAGATAATAATTTACATGTAGAAATGTAAGAAAATTGTGTCTTCAATATATTTTTATATGTCATTGTATATTAATAAAACAATATTTTGGATGAAACATTAGGATGAATTTTTAAATTTTAGAAAATGTACTTGATATACTTAACTAATGTTAATTAATATTATAGATATATAAACAAACACTCTTTCTTTATTCATTACCATTATTTTAACTAATAAATTATATATTGCCATTATTCTTAGTTGTAAAACGCAGTCAAGAATGCACATCTTTGTATCATATATATACTACCTACTAGACTGTTGGAATTTGTTGTTCCCGATCAATAAACTTCATATTCAAACTATAAAATTGGAAAATGTACTTGAATCCATTGTCAAATGTATTGCAAGGTTCCATTCATTGATAGATTAGCGTATTGTGATCTTCCATATTATAGACATCAAAAATTTCTTTATGTTTCTTTAATTTAGAAATGGGTCAAAGAAGGTTCTTTAATTTAGAAATGGGTCAAAGAATAAATTTATTGTTATATCAACTCAGGGACCATGACCCCTTATTTATGGATCTAAGTATGTGATGGCCTCTTAATAAATTATAAATATCACTATGATTTCTACACGTTTTTTTTAAATAAACTTCACTTCTTATGTAAATATATGTGTGTAACACATTCATATGAACTAAAATTTTATGCATCTTGGCATAATCTATTTATGTTGAATAGAATTATATCAACTAAAATTTATCAGCCAACAACGTGTATTTTATCCTTTAATGGGAAATATGTTTCTGTAATTATAAAATGCCCGCACGCACACCCTTTTTTGCCCTGATGAATAACATGCTCATACCCTTAATTTTTTTTAACAGGAATTAGAATTTTTAGATTTCATATATGCCATTCAGATTTATCTGATTTTATTTTCAATCAACGTTTTTTAAGTTTATAGTTAAAAATTATTTTTACCTTTGCTCTGTTTCGTTTGAAAAAAATAACTACTTTGCATTTATATGCGTGCCTATGTGTAACAATGGACCTAGAAAAATTAATTAATGAAGGCATAATTTATACTTAAAATAAATATTAATATTTTTTATAAAATAAATAATTTTAAAATATATATTAAATTATATTAATGTTATAATTTAACAAAATTAAATATTTAAACAGGCGTAAAACATAACATTACAATAACATAAAATACTCTCTTTATATAAATATTTTTTATATATCTTTTAGAATCATGTTTTTATTTTCATTTAAAAATTATATACTTCTTTTATATGGTAGAGAATTTTCTGTGATAAAATTATTCAGAAACAGTTTTTTTTTCCTAAATTTTTTCTTTTTCATTTTAAATCTATTGCTATTTAAGTTTATAACACACGTATATACAATTTTAGATAATGGGATAAGTAAACTTTTATAAGATAATAAGTGAAATTTTTTAAAATGAAGGGACAATTGAAATTTTTAAAGGGGACAATTAAAATTATTTAGGATCATCTTAAGTAATTTCTCTTTGGATTAGTGGGGACAGTTGCTCCCTTTATCATAAACGT